TCAGTGATCCTATTAAACGGGGAATATAAAAATTTAGAATGATAACAAGATTATAATCTGTTGTAAAAGACAAGTAACACAAGAACACCATTGAAATAACTGATGCATAGATCCATAATGAGTGATTTCTAATAAAAATAAAATTGTACATTAGATTGTTCTAAGTGAAATGTAGCTATTCAACTGGAAGGATAAAAGAAAAGTATTTAATTTATGTCATATACCGAAAAATAATACTGAAAACTAGTAAGAAAAAACTTATTTATCTTCAGCTTACATCAATTACCTTGGTTTAAATTATAGATACTTCTAACAGACTATTTATATTGTTGCAAACAATAAGCTAACTTAAAATTATGTAAAGAACAACTATATTACAACAAACAGTGGCCCCCAAATGCCCTGGTACGGTTGAGAGTGTGGAGGGTCCGCTCTCCCTCTCCAAATGCTTTCACATGGCGACGCGAATATATAGCCTCTGACAGGGAAGTCCTACTCACTGACCTCTAGTAGCGGGGGTGTTGTTTACGAAATTTAGAGGACCAAAAGCGAATGTCCGGTGCTTTGACCGGGTTGGTGGACATGGAGGGTTCACCTAGGGGTTGAAAAACCCTGATTCCAAAGCAATGGTGTACATGGGCTCTAGTATCCTGAGTGAACAAATGGCGTATGAACCAATCGTTGGTCACCGGTTACCATGGGAGTGCATCTCCTTACGTTGCTCCACTGCCTTGTGGCTCAGACCTTTAGGTCGAATGTTCCGGGCGTGCGTCCCCAAGAAAACTACCTGCTTCGGTCTGGACACCCGGACAGTATCGTAGCCCACACACAAATCAAATGATGATTTGTGTGGCGCATATGTATTTGGTGCCTCCTTGTACCAATATCTATTTGTTAAAATAAAATAAATAAAGTGGCTAGAAATAACTCATCATGAAGAATATTAACTTCGGATTCGAAATAGAACTGCGGATATATAGACGACAGTAATTCCCAGATATCAGCTATGGACATATCCAGTATATTGCATCTCGATGTGATAGATTAAAAACACAAATATAGTAAAAGTTTGAACTTTGAGTGGAATTTGTAATGAGAACTAAACACTTATAGGCAGAACTCATTTACTAAATGAACGGAGAAATGATCGAAGATGTGAATAAAAAATACTTAGTGATTAATGAAAACGTTGCAGTTAACTTTAGCCACCCTAACGGTATAGGAAACAAACTGTCTAGAACCAGACTTTTTTAAAGTTTAACTCACAGAGAATACTCCATCTGGAATCCCGGTGGTATTGAGACGCTTAGGGTCTGGAGAATTTGAATCACGATCACTATGATGTGAATCAACGGAATTTCTTATCTTCGGAGATTGTTGTGTGGTAGCGATCAGTTCACACTTGATTTCCTCATTATTGTCTTCAATTTTCAGCTTATTATGGAGACTAACCAGTGTTTTATCATTGAATTCGGGGAGATTAACGCTGATATTAGGTGGTATTATACTATTGCTTATTGTTACCTGGAGAAAGTAAAGTATCATTTGATTATTCCATCCATAAATCAAATTCGTCAAACTAAGTTCGCTTTTGATACTGAGAAATTTATTACAATTCAAGCATGTGACATAATCAAATAAGAACATAAACACGGCAAAAAGTGTACCAACACTAATATTAGTAATCTAAGAGACAAAAAAAGGTATTAGCAGCCAGATATAAATATAACTTGAACGAAATCTAAACATAAACAAACCGCTTTACAAAAAAAACTGAAATAAAATCAAAGAACGAAAGATTGATAATAATACATGATTTGAGATTTACGGAAGAATACACAATGAACATAAACACGAGTCACTGAAACCGATTTCAGACTATATCATCCATAACATCTACAACTGAAGATTACGACTAGCAAGTGTATAATGATCAGCAATTATGTGCGTATACTAACATGGATCAGATTATCACCAGGGTCAATAGGTATTCAATGTAAAAATGAAGGGTTAGTTGTACAACAACTATTTTATTTAAGAAATCAGTCAGCCAGCTACAGAGTAGGATCAGGCACATATATGCATCGGTTCAAGTTGCCACACCTAATTAGCACAACAAAATGAACATCAAATCCATAGTTGTTGCTTCAATAGTAGTAATATATAAAAGAAAGGTTGCATTTTAGAATATAATACAGAAAGAAGGAATTAGGTCGTAGAAAGAGAGGTATAAAGTAATTTTAATTTCACGGCTTAAAGTATAACAAATTGTACACACTTACACCATTGTGATCAATCCTGAGCCAGGTCATCAAGAGTCTTTGACGATTGGTTACGATAGCCGCGAGGACCCCAATCAAGCAGTCTGCATCTACCAACATGGCTCAGACCAGAAGTTAGTGACTTCAAGGACTGATGCCACGTTTCAGTTTGCAACAATCGTTTATCCAGAATTAAATTCTTAAGACTGTAGCTGTGAAACAACTGTTGTTTTAAAGTGATTACTTATCAATTTATTCCCAGTGGCAAAGTAAGATAATAAATACACTGCAATTCTTAACACTAATCGTTCAGTGTTTGTATAAAAAAGACTAACATGTGTGACGAATGCATTGGGAATTTACACTCAGCTGTGCAACTCATTTTGGAAGCGAAAATTTTCGTATTCGGCTTTGAATCACATTGCTTGTGTATGAGGAGCTAGCAATAATATCCAATTGCCAAGATCAAAATAACTGAAACAAATCTTGAGTATAAGGTCGACTGTAGTTGAAAACTGATTGCTTTAATGGTTAAGCTACCGCTGGACATACAGATCAGTTCGTCTTCTGCGAAATTTACGGGAGATATTGACAGTTTCATACAAGGGAAAGTAAACAATCGAACTTACTTCAACATCTTTAATTTCGATAAATCCTGAACGACGGGTGAAACGACCTTTTTTTGTAGTTGAAATTTCGTCACTATCTTCTTCATCTGGTTTCGATCTTTTCAAGACACGTTCATTTGATTTACAATTAGAATCAACTAGACCAGTTTCGTCAACAATACCAATTACTGATGATGATATTGATGATGCATCGATTTCTTGTGATGAGGAATCAACTGTAATTGGATTTTGCGGTAAATCTATGGGTCGATGTTCACCTTTTTGATTTGTATATGGTATTAATCCACATTGTGCGATAATATCTGGCCATGCTTTTGCAACTGCATTAACCAATTGTACCAGAAGTGACTCTTCAAATTCAAATGGAAAATTACCATGTAAATGACCATCATAATTGTTCAGAAGTTCTTCTAAAAAATTCACATCTTCCTGAGCTTGATCATCACCCATATATGGTAAGTTAGCTAATTCTGTTTCATCTTCAACAGAGAAATTATGTTGAACAGGAGCCCACATACAAACGGAAGGCACAGGATCAACCTATAAAAGTGGAAGAGTGGAAAGAGAATGACAACAAACACAGCAATTAAGTCAACATTTTTATGTATAGGTGGGAAACTGAAAAGAGAATTCGACACATACTGATCGTATTGAATTTACTCACTTGGGGCATCATTGTAATAGCAACACGATAAGATACACCACCGATTCGAGCCTCAAATTTGCCGAATTGACTATAGACATTAGGAATTTCTACCGGTTCAGCTAATAAAGGTGGATCGGCAGAAGTGGAATTAGGCCACATTTCATCACAGGTGATAGATCGAGCTGCGAGATTAGCAGCATGAGCAGAATTCAGTTGCTCGCTTAACAAACGTCGGTTCTTAGACATCAATTCAAATACATGATTCCACTTGGATGTTAAATTAGCACACCGAATACGATTGTAGACCTCGCGGATCATTGTTTGTAAACGACGACGACGTTCACATGGATTGTAGTGCGGTCTATTTGAACTAGTTGGTCTTCGTCTCAGTGATTTCACACGGGTTCTGCGAGACTCGCATACAGGAGCTATTTCATTTGGGCTGGATTTATTATTTTTACAATCACGATTTACATATGAAGATCGACGAACCATCTGTAAAGAAAACAAGTTTATCAACTGCCGTACATACAATCATACGAATGACTTGATTTAAGGTACAGAAATATAAACATCTACACTCTGGCAAAAAAAGGACGATAGAGAACTAACTGAAGAGAATACATAATGATAGGTTTCTTCACTTATTATATTTAACGTTTTCTGATCATTGAAATCCACATTCCACTAGTTGATGAACTTTGATCAACAACGAAAACTAGTTCCAATGTGAAAACATTACAGCTTATCTTCAGAAATACAACTCAACATTTACTCACATTTTTGGGAGCATAGTATCCTCAAAGTTCGACCAATACAATTTAGTAACACACATATAGATGCAAAAACTGCAACGGCTAGGAAAAACGGGCTGAGATCCATGAATGAAAGCGTCTAAACCTCGTAAGCATAACTGACTATTAATATTCATCGATCATATCCCAAATACCAGTGCTGTAATATCCACAACTGCAAGTTGTAAATATAACTTTCGTTGAGTCCAAATGCAAACAAGAAGACCAACTTATAGCACTCAAACTCAAACTATTAGGTCTAATGTTTGATTTCAGCCTCACCTACTTAACATTGAACATACAGTAGTATCACTAGCCTCTTGTACCAATCAACTGTGCGATTTCATGCCACTTTCGAATTACATTAGAAAACAAAAAGTTCCTGACGAATAATGAAGTATGACAAACTTTCATAATGAATATTCTCTTAACAATGGTAAAATGTAAGCGCATTCCAATAGATGGTAACAGTAAAATGTTAATTTAGGGTTTAAACATGGAAAAAGACACTTTCTCAAACCAAATACATATATTTTCCATTACAAATGATCGCTGTTTACATAGCTTCTCTTATTTGTGTGAAAGAAAATATTTAAAAGTAAAGTTTATTTTTAATGAATATACAGTAATGAAGTCAGTAGTAAGTGGAGCTCAATCTGTTCCATTTTACTTAGTTCGTACGACGTCGTTTGTTACGAATTTGTCTTCCATCCTAAAAAGGATTAACATAAATGTAATTAGCAATAAATTATGATAGATATTTGTCAAGAAAAGGTCTCTAAATGATTTGGTACTGCCGAAAGAGTATAGTCTGATTTCTTCTACCGAAATGCTTTCATCTAGACACACACAACCAGTTCCAGAAAAATCTTACTACTCTCACGTGAAGATTTAATAAAAGTGGGGTAAGGGGGGACTTTCGACGTTTAATCCGAGTTGGTGGATGTGTACAGTCTGGAAACCTTGGTCGCAATTCAATAATATATATGGATTGTAATGTCTCAAGGGAATCATTGGTCATCGGCTGCTACGGGATATCATACATTAATGATCCTTTACAACTTTGAGGATTAAATGATTACATAAGGATTATGAGGGTCCCCAATATAACCATTTGTTCTCTTTTGAATGTCTGGGAAATATTACAGCGCTCAGGTAATAAATGGTAGTCATGAGTGAAGATAATCGAACTATTATACTTCCAGTAAAAATAACTTGGTATTTATTTTTATCTCAAAGTTAACATTAAAGTCGAATTAAGAAATTAAATAACCAGATCTTAGCATTTATAAATTTCTCTTTACACGTAAGTTATTGTCTCCAACCACCACATTATTGATCGAAATGCGAAAGTATTATTGTCTTCATGAATTATTAGCAGGTAAGTAAAATAGTGGTTATTATCAATGTATATTGGCCACACCATCCTGAATGAATTTCAACTACGGCAGTTAATTTACCCACTTATATATACTTATCATTTTAGATAATTCTGACTAAAATTACTACAATCTCCACAAACCCCCATTCTGATGACAATCATCATGTGCTCACTGGTGACTGGCTTCAAGATAGATTTCCTGGAGTTCTAGTGAGAAGCCGTGACCAGTAGAGTTCGATTCGTGTCGGGTATCTACCTGAGAGAATGAATGAACGGTTACGCAGCCGTTCATGGATCGATGGAAGTTAGACATTAACACTGTTGGATGCCGGCTCATTGGCTCAAAGTTTAAGCGTTTGCGTGAGAACAAAGGTCCTGGGTTCGAATCCCACATGCGGGACCGTGGATGCGCACTGCTGAGACCCATACCATAGCAAAACGGCCGTCCAGTGCTTCAAGGTTTTCAATGGTGGTTTAATATTGATCCATTTATGATCCCAATCAAAATTCTGACTAAAACAATTCACATGTTGTTTACATCTAAACTTTTTTCAGCCTCCTTTTTATTCCTCACAATAGTTAATATTAATAATTCAAGCGTGTAGCTTATAACTATTTCTTGGGTGAACACTCATGATCGATGTGATTTGGAATTGTAGATGGATAGCACAGACAGAAAAAAGAGATTATTATATTTAAAGTTATCATCGTTATGAGTCAGTAATGAGTTAACATTATCAGCCTGGCTCTTTTAGTAAAGATAATATTATCAGATTACTATCAATTTTTAAAATTGGTTTAGAAATGAAATGCTTACTTTTGAAACGGCAAAAATTGCATAAAACTTCCTAGTATTTAATTACTTATTGACTTACCTATCGAATTTCCAGATATTTCCCAAGGATGATGATATAATATATTCATCAAGTAAGGGTCTATGGACCAAGTGTTTTAGGTTACACTGGTAATACTACTCGGCTGCCTAAACCAAAGGTGCGGTGGTGACCCAATGACTAAGGTGTTTAACTTTCAGACAGTAAATCACAGGTTCAAAACTCGCTTTAGCTGCCTTGGTCTAAGTATCCACGTAGTATTACTAGCCCATAAAGTATGATTTAAAGCCCAATACGCAAATCAGTACCTGTTGAACTACAAAATATTCAAAGTAGATGAGGTGGGATTCAAACCTGTGATCTACTGGCTAAAAGTTGTACATTGACTGTTGAGCCACAGTCAGTTAGTCAGTCAGCTACAACGTAGGACCAGGCACAAATATGCATCGGTCCGAGTTGTCATACCGCATTAGCACAGCACGATGAACTCCGAATCATAGGAGTAGTTAAGTCAATGGTGGCAATACATAAAAAAAGATTGCGTATAAGGATATAGTACAGGAAGAAAAATTTAGTACGTAGAAAGAAAGGTATAAAGTAATTTTAATTTCACGGTTTAAAGGAAGACAAAGAGTGTATACACCTACACCATTGTGATCGATTCTGAGACATGTCATCCACAGTCTCCATCCATTGGTTACGATAGTCAAGCGGACCTCAACCAAGTAGTCTGCATCTACCAACATGGCTCAGACCAGATGCTAGTGTCTTCAACCACTGATGCCATGTTTTGGTTCTAACCATCCCCAACACCGGTTAGCATTGGACGTCGTGGCAATCGGTGTTCAGACATACGCAACACGTGACTGCCGCTTCCTATGACAGGAAGTGAGCAGCTTATTCCTGATGGATATTCTAAAAACCATTCCCATAATGATAAGGCGATTGATGTGTAAAGGTTTTACAGAAAGTATCGTTTTCTCGAGCATTTATTATAAGAGATTTAGCAAACAAAAATGGTCAAATCCTTCAACAAATATTGAAAACGAAACTATCCTCTCACTAATTATTAAGTCGACTTTTATCTATTATGAGATTCAATAGTCATCCATATATAAAAGATTATCATCGGTAAAATTTATTTACACTTTGTCGAAACTATGTGGATAAAATTTTATTTTGAAGGAAACAATAGTTTTCATACAATGAGACTGGTAAATTTTAGTTACAAAGGAAGTCAATGACAGTTATGCGTAGATGTCCTCGAATGCCCTGGTACGACCAACGGTGGGGAGAGTTTATGCTCCCTCTCGAAATGCTCTCATATGTTCACACGTATATAGCCACTGCTAAGGTAATCCCACTCACTGCTTTCTCGTGGACTGTGTTGATTACGAGATGGAGAGGATGAAAAGTAAATATCTGGGGTTTGAACCGGATTGATGGGTACAGAGCATCTACCTAGGGGAGTAGAAACCCTGATTCCAAACCAAAGTTCAAGGATCCTGAGGGAACAAACGGTGTGTGAACATATTGTTGGTCACTAGCTATCATGGGACCGCATCTCCCAACGTCGCTCTACTGCTTTGTGAATTAGACCCATAGGTCAAATGTTCGGGGAGTGGTCTACAAAGAAAACCACCAGCTTCGGTTTGGATACACGGGCTGTATCTCAGCCCACACAAATTTAATAATCTGTGTTTAAATAACAAATAATAAAAGCGAATGAAATCAACTTACACTACGTCCTCCACGTCGTTTCTGAGCTTTCTGTTGCTGAGCTGCCAGGATCACTTTCCACTGATTCTTCTCTTCGTCACCTTCCAAAACAAAAACAGTATATTAAAAATTTTCCAGCATAGTGAAGTAAACTAGATAGCTTAGAAAACTAATTTGCAGTGCTACGAAATTATATTGGCCATTTTATTTGGATTTACTGTACTATAACTTGTCTTGATTAGATGGTAAACAAAAGCAAGATGAAATTTTAATGTGCTCCGTTCGAGCTGATCACATCTTCAATATAGTCGTTATTATGAGTTTATGGGTCATTTTGTTTACACAATCTCTCGCAAAAGATCTTCTACGTAATATGGTAATTACTGAAATCCGCATAAATTGTTTCTGATTTTTTAGTTTGACGAACATCAGTAGACTAATAACAAATCAAATGACGTGGAAAATGTATATAAAATGATTTTATGTGATGTAATATCTAGCAAATTTCGGGTGCTCATTAGTGGCAAGACAAATTCACTCCATTCCATAAGTGAACTACTTATGAGTGAAATACGCAGTTCACAGTATGAATAAAGGTATTAATTGTATGGACAATTACCAGTAATTATGCGACCTGATAATTCACTGTTTAAATAAGTAACAGGACTATCGCCAAATGCTTCTTTTAATTTAGCCCATGCTTTTTCTGCTGTATCAGGTTGTTTGAATCGTATTACAGCTTTTCCCTCAGATGGTTCGATATCAATCCATCCCACAGGAGTACTCGAGTCAAGCTGTGAAAATATCCAAAAAGATAAATAAATATGAATCAAACAAAGCATAATAAACAGTATCACTTGTATATCCTAAGTTCCCTTCGAGAAAAAGTCCAAAGAACTTGACTTAATTTCGTAACAGCAGTCTTTTAAGCAAATAAAATAACGAATTTTCACCACATAACAAAATGTTCGTCATATTACCTTACCTTTTCGTTCAACCACTGTTTTAAGTTCATAACTGTTGGTGCTTCTGAGTCTTTACTGTCATTCACTGACGACTCTTTTGATTTCTCAGTTGTAGCGTCTTCCCCTTCAACTGCATCATTTTCTAGAAAGTGAAGAGTTGTGTGAAGATAGAAAAAACAGAAAACAGCAAATATCAACATTCTATTCAGAATGATAATTAGTTCCATTGAAATATTACAGAAAAACTAACAACCCAAATGACTTTTTTCCCTACCATAGAAGTGATATCAGTGGCCAACTAAGCCGAACACTTCCATTTATGCTTGAAGTTTGTGCTGAGTAGGACTGTACAAAAAAACAACTTTGTACGATAGGGCACCGAAAACTAATCGTAAAAGTAGAGTTACAACATTATGCTGTGCTGAGAATTCTATATTGTACCAAAATATAATATTGAATAAAGCCATTAATAATAATAATAATAATAATAATAATAATAATAATAATAATAATAATAATAATAATAATAATAATGAAGAGATAAAAAGTGGGACAGTCATATCATCAATAGACAAATAAAAAAGAATAATTACTAAGACATGGATAAATTTTAAAAAATACAACCAAAATAGATTCTATCCTGTCAAAAAGTTCCATTCCATCACAGTCGGATTATCACATTTTAATTATAAAGTAAATCTGCTGAAGTCATAGGCATAAAATTTGCATGATTACTAAGATCCCAAACAACGAAGTCGTGATGGAGAAGACACAAATCTTATGAAAATTTCTTTCATCCCACGACACTATCATGTACTAACAACTATCAAGCTATTCCACACAGTCAAATAATACGCAATGTGGAGAATGCTTGGACTATATCTGTAACATATTTAAATCACTGAAGCCCGTATTTCGTGGTACAAATTAAATCAACAGGTCACAAGTTTTTCAAGACCTCTGTACTCTCATGTAACTTATATATTAAGTACACGTTTATGGATTCAGCATTGAAACCTCCAGTATTAGCTAATGATATCCAACTCCTCAAACCAAAGCAGACAAAAAGGTTCCCAAACGGGACGAAACGCACATTCCGGGTTTCAATACCAGCCACTATATATCACTGCTTAGAAACGCTTTTAACTTAGTCGAAGTACCAAAGCAATCCGAACAGGAGGCACATATGCAAAAGAGACTGATGAATCGCAGTCCTAAACATCAGTGGGAAGATTCAAATGACCAACACATATAAACGACACACTATGTACTGAGTACACTATATAACAGTTAAGTATTTTCTGAGAGCTCGAGTGATGATTTGAATTGTACTCAACTTATTTCGTCAACTAGCCGTTTGTGTGCACATTAAGCAAGCTCGATTGCCTTTATATATAGTTTTTGTACACCAGTCGTATTCATTGAGAGTTTTCAAATTTCTGAAATACTTATTTCTGTTTACCAAGTATATTAATTTTGACTAGTAACAACGATACCTTGATTCTGATATTTTTGCTACCAATCCTGACTAGATTCGCATCCACGTACAACGAATTCTCTAAGATGAGCCATAAGCATTAGATTGAACAACCAGGTACTAAGGAATTCACGAAAATTCGGTACATTTCCGAAATAGTGAAAATATTTCTGCTTTTTTATCCCTCTCCAGGAACCTAGGATTCCAAAATCTGATCCGACACTGTCAGTTTTCTTGGTTTTTACAAACATTTAAGAGATACAATCGGTTATATAGCATTTGCTGATGAGTTATATTGTTTTGGTAAAGGTGGACAAACAGATATTTACTTTTTGTGGCTTCTGGGAGACCAACGATTTCAAGTAATGCTCCACGAATCATTCGAGAATTAACTTGAGCTTCCTGGTTAGCTTCAAGTGCAGCTTTCTTTTTGGCTTGTGAAGCAACTTTAGCCTTGTTTTCTTCTTCTTTGCGTTTCCAATAATCGATTCTAAAATTGAATTTTGAGTATTAACATACTACTAAAAGTATTTGATCGTATTTACTATCATAGAATGCAGTGCAACTTCAAGTTTTTAGGTTAAAAATTAACCGGTAAGTGAACTTATTTTGACTATACGAACTAAATAATCTGAATGCATCGAGTTACTACAGATTAAGATAGAGCATTACAATCACCCAAAATTTGCACTCATACTGAAGTTTGTAGGAAATAATTTCGGAGTTTATAATGGATTCTGAACAGTGCATGGGTACCAACCATCAGTCTTCTGCATATTTCAACGAGAAACGAGTTCTCTACGCAGCTTGGATTACTAAGACAATGCAACTAATTTAATAAGTATAACCATGTATCACACTTTGAGCTACACTTTAAATGTAATAACTAGCGATACAATCCAGTTGTCTCAACCGGATTATACAGATTGCTGACCAAATTACAGGTTACTTAGGTCTGCTTACTATTGATTTTATTATTCCACTATTCCATAGTTAATTGTAATTTCAACTAGTTTTATTGGATGTTAATTCATCAACTGTGAACTACACTACTTATGCGATACCAGATAAAATTTCAGTTTCCTGATTACTCAATTGTGATTAGCCCGTGGTTTAAGTTTTGCCAGGTGGCTACTGATGATAACAAATGATAAAACAATAAGGTATCATGAAACTGGATGCTAAACATTTTCGTCTGCTTAGTTGAGGTTAGAAACAGCTTTACTTTTTCAGTCACAGTTGTGTACGCTTCCTCGGGAACTGAGATTTGAACTGTCAAACAGTGTCATGGGATTCCAACCTATGGGATAGGTGTGAAAGAGACCACTAAAAACTTCATTAAATAGATTAAAGTGTTATGTGCAGATCCAAGACGTTAGTTTACGTTTTTATCCGTCGATAGAAAGTCGAGTGGAGAAAGTCTGGGACCTGATCTTAAATAGAACATATTGTCTCTATTTTTGATACCCTGGTAGATATCGTAATTAAGTCTGCACAATTACCTATCGGTTAAGGTTGCTAGCGGTAAACATTGAGCATAATTAGGAAAATGGTTATGATTCATGAAGATGTTACAGGTACTAGTATTAAATACATTCTTAATGCCATCAAATGTTTGCTACTTTGATATCAATCGGTAATTAATGCTCAGAGATACTGCTACCTGGACTGAACTTTAGATAGCTGAGACATGTAACATGACTATAAAACTGCTACATATTGTATCTGGCAGGATGATATGAGTAGGCTCTTTTACCTGAAAGTGGACAGTCGTTTATGTATAAGAAATCGAATCAAACTACTTCACGTATTTCCAAACCATTTACACTTACTGGGTTGAACGAACCATAGCTTTTTCTTTGAAAGTAGCAGCCTCTGGTGAAGCCAGGAACTTTTCAGAATCCTCCTTCTTCTCAAAAATAGCAAATATGCTTCCCTGTTACATGTATATTAAGACAGGAATTGAGAATACCCTGAACTTTTTGTCTCGTGGAAATCTGCGCATATGCACATCAAGGGTTTTGCCACCGTGTTTTTCAAGCCATTCAATAATTTCGTCCAATTTTTCGTCAGGAGAGAAGCCTTTAACATAGACACCATTTTCTTTATAGCTGTTAAGAGCTGTCTCAAATGTTTCAGGAACTTTCATTTCAGGATTTCTTCGAAGACCTTTTTCGCCTACTTCAATCAACCCGGACTGTGACTTGGATACTGACTTCTTTATGAACTCAACATCCTCTGACAAAGACTTTAGACGATTAAATTTAATCATTGTCTCCATAGGAATCCCTGAAAACATGAAATTATGATTTCACTCAAATATAAATCTTACATCCGTCATTCTCTTTAACAGCCTCTTTCATGAACTTATCACGTGACAGATTTACATCTCCAAAGTAATACTAAAGAAACTCAAGAAAAAAGAATTGGCATGAGCTACCTCAACTTGTCTAATTATTCTGGACTCTAAAGGCGTGATTTCAACCATTTTCAAAAAAACCACACTGAACTAGACGAGTAGAACAAACGTTCAAAATTGAAATTTCAGAGGTTGATATAATTCCAGATAAATAGTAAGCTAGAAGTTCGGTCTTATGAATAGACAATTATGGGTCTATCACGTAAAATCTTATCGATTAGGCAGCCACTTCATGACAAATCTACAATTTTGGGATTGGGTCTCTTATTATGTTAGTATTAAGAGCGAACTAGGCTATAATTCTACAAATGGACAGGTAGCCTACCTATACAGGGCTTTCTGAGTTGTTAGCCCTTGTCTTTCCATCTCCGATTCGCTTTCGTGCTTGATCACGGCGTCATGTGACCTATCCAGCATCTATTGGCACGAAATGTTTCGACAGCTGCAGCCGCCATATTGGAGGATGTTCAGGTTATCTTCATCAGCCGTTGTCTAGGATCCTCGTCCTTTCGATGGAGTTTTGTCCTCTGAGCACGACCAAACCATCCAGCTCAGAGAACAAAACTCCGTCAAAATCATCCACCTGAGCTACAAATCTCCACCATGCCCGTCCTTCTTGGCTGGTATCACCACTTGTTGAGCCAATAAGCTTTTGAGCTTCAAGGACTGGTTGATGATTTCTCGCTACCAAATATCAGTGACTCTCTTGTCAAGCTCTGTGCTTTCTAGCACACATTACACAATGATATTTCTTCAGCGATAAACTGTCTCGTGAGATTCCTCAGAAATGTTCCTGATGAGATTGCACTCAGAATACACCATACCAGGCAGTATTCTTACATTTCAGTAAGTGACTCGCTAATAGGACACTCTCTACGGCGTTAGAGTTAGTGAGTGTTACACGAAGTAGTCTTGGATGATTCTGATGCCTAGAGTCCTTTCCCCGACTGAGCCATGTGACCGTCAAAGGCTCTATTTTGGGAATTTCGAGCTTCGTGTTTAACTCCTCCCAGAGCATTCTATCATTTTTATTCTGCAAACTGAGGGGAGCTCAGGGCCGTCTTTAAGTTTCATGATTATGTGAGAATCATTACGAACCGTGACTGTTTCCCAGGTTTTCGGGTACGTTCAGGTTGAGGACCTCTTTGTTTGGTAGTTCAGATACGTTTGGGATACTCGTTCTCCTTGATAACTGGTTGGAAAATCTTAGGGGTAGATTGTACGGCCAAATCACCAGTTAATTTCACTACAAAGCCTGGAATGCTCTGCCACTTAGATAATGAAACTCGCTCCGTTTTAGCTTTGTTGACAGGATTCCAATCGACTACATAGTTTTTGGGTACAACTACATTTAGGGCTCCTGTGCTTGGAGACCCACGTTTGTTGAAAAAGTCTGGTGCCGTCGATGTTATGACGTTGCTGAGCTCCAGCGTATCCTCACTAATGTCGATGCATGTTCCGTCAACGCTAACATTGTAGAGACTCCTCTTCTTTTCGTCACCGCGCTACATTTGATTACCAGTTTTAGAACCTTTTTTCAGTTTCGCTAACACATTTTTCCGCAGACCTGTCAAGAGAATGATGTTGTTGCTTACCGAACCCTTAGCATTCATACTGCACGTGCTATATATTCACGTACGATCCGGCATACGAAGCCTGTCGTAAGCAGTTACTGTAAGGTTTGTGCATACTTCTTGGGACCAACCTTTTATAACTTCCTCATTCGAGATACAGAATGTTTGCAAAGGACTTTATACGAGCTCCTTCGTGCTTTATCTTGAATTAATGTCCTATGATATGTAGTTTATTGGTGAAACTTATTTTATATGATAGGGTGGAGGGGATAAGAGCATAAAGATTTTACCTATTTTCAGAGTTAGATAGTGCTTTTGATCGTAGCAAGTTTACGACCAAAGGATCCCCCTTGCAATCAAATCAGATGTCAGAAATGAAGAAGATCAAAAATATAATTGGGAGGCAGTTGGTACATCAAGAATGATGATTTAAGTTGATTGGTTGCTACGAGAGGTGCGCATCACTGCGTATTCAATGGTGACCACGTGCAAAAGAGTGACCGAGTGCCTTTAGCTAGGGTTTGTCTAACAGAAATAATTAGGTCAGCATCAATTTCAAAGACTTTCAGAACTATTTATTTCGAGTAGGTCTTGTTGATTGCGTATACTAGTAGGAAACGCCAAAAGTGCTACAAAGAGTAACGCCGATGTCATTTGAGTGGTGAATAGTAAAACACTGGAATCGCTTAGAAAGTAGGAGGTGGGATAGTGCATTGCTGCTGTTCACCAGCAGCACTCTGCATTTACTGGTATTCTGGGAATGGTGGTTTTTGATGGTCAGTCGAATAACATATATCCTCTTAGGGAGACAAGATATAAGCTGAACTTGTAGTGGCATTGGACAATAGCACACAATCCACAAAGCTGTGAACACGAGACTACTCAGAAAATAGATATTCAATATTTAACACGGAGAAATACCTAACAATGGCGAAGGCGCGAACAATGAATTGAATGGACTGGAGTTGATCGAGTGGCATGGCTCGGCCATGCAGGCGTGGTCCATCTGAATGTTACCCCATATATTCTATTCATATTAAATATATTGTTCTTTCTCTAGCCTAACCTTGTTCTACATCATGTATTGGTAATTGATACGATTCAGTGAGTTGGTGTAGTCGATGGTGTGACTTCCACGTAAGATCTTATAGATTAGGCAGTTATATCATGACAAATCTACAAATTTAGGATTAGGTCTACTATTAGAGCAGTACTACTATCATAGTAGACCATAGTTCTACAAACTAACAATATACTATTCTGTATCAAAATATCATATGCAAAAGGTAGGATTTGAGAGTCTAAGGAGTTAGGTAGGTCATCAGTGAAATATCAAACGACGCTATGTCCAAGCGCAAGTTAGTAAATATGTACAAGCATTGAGCCCTGTGACTCTTGGCTTTTCCTTAAAACTGGCCAGACAGCAGTGCAAACTCTGACAGCTAGAAATCTCCCGTCTAGGTATTCAAAAAGTTACATTATTAAACTCCCATTTATGCCCGTAAAATTTAGTTTCTCAGACCTATTGAAATAGTTAATACTACACAATGTCTTGGAGGATTTTGGACAGCCAATACGAACCGGATGGTTGTGTACCAGAGAGATTGTCCACCTATTCCAGGTAGTCAACAGGCCTGTGTTATGGGTAGAAAGTCGTGTTGAGATATTAGAAAAATGGATTTCATGTGGAGGTACTTACAGAGAGATGCGTAGCAGAGTGAGAACAAATGAGTTGGGATTCGTTAACCAGGAAATTAGCGACCGAGCTATGGAAGGTGTCGAAAAATCTTGATCAAAGATGTTCGACATGGTGTGTACCCAACTCTTCATGAAACTGTATCGATACGTTTGGTTACTTTACATAGACTTAGAAAGACGAAACTGATGAGTTATTTTATCCCACTCGATTCTCTGGATACACGTATTACATACTCTTGATATATCTTCAGGTTAAATACTTCCCATAAGAGGACGTTCAAAGGGATTTTGCGTATGACTGCCAAATAGAAGTGTAGCCATTGGCTAACTAGAAGGTTTCTTGAGAAGATACCGCTGTTTGAGTATGTTCGCTAAATCATGATAATTTTTCATGGTATCTTCTGACGGTATCGTGATTAGTTTTTCTAGAGTTTTGTATTGGGTAAATTCATCAGAAAAATATGTTATAGAGAAAAACATTAGTATGACTCAGGTAGTTCATTATTATTAGATTGGTGACATCCGACTTGCGTTTGGCAAAAATGAAATTCAGACCAGAGGTGTATCTGTTTGTTTCTCAGACGGTCCGCTGAGCCATATTTTCCTACAGACTAGCTTTTTCCATTAAGCCCCTAACACCAGTAGTCTATTTTCTATGGAGAAGCGATCAGGAACCCTAAATTCATTCATTAACAATATCTGGAGAAAATTCATTTCTAGAGTACTTCTTATTGTTTGAAGAAAATAACTGTTTGGGCAAGTGAAGGCTTCAGTTAGTCTATACGGGACACCTAACAGACAAAAATCACAAGTATTCTTCACAACGCGCCGCAAGGCAGTTCAGTGAGGGCTGAGGGAGGAGGATACGTAAGGCGCGACTCTGTTACCCAATGTCCTATGTATCATTACGTAGCGTTTGGAAATCATTAGGGGAAAGTTCACAGCAAATGATATAATTGGTAAGCTGAGCCTCAAAGAAAGCCCCTATATTAAGAGGCTTTCACCTACTTGCTCACCGATCATGATAATTTTCAATCGTAACCGCGTTACACCAACCTATAGGCAATTCATAATAGAGTGATAATCTTTGACTTAGACGGATACGAATTGAGTCGTATTGCCGACTACCAGGTCAGACCAGTGGTTTGGCTTCTCCGGGTGTTGTAGGATGTTCAGGTTGGACTAATAAATCTGAATTGCTACATCTAAGCTTAAATCATTATACTTAGTTAAATATAATTCCCAATGCCCAGTTTATTCGAAATTATCAAATCAAACCTTGGTAATGATACCTATAAACATAAGTCCATGTTGAGTTCATAGACACTTAGTTGCTAGATGATCAGCAGTGGGGAGGTTTAAAAACCTCGTCTTAGGATTCCATTAATTTATTTTATAAGCCTTGATGTACGTCCACAAATCTTGATGCCTATTGAAATATGAGAGTTATGATATCATGATTCAAGTGCAGCTGTCTTCATACAAGGAGAGCCCGCAGCAGCTGAGAATGGGTGGTTATGATTCAGCCAACAACCTGCAGTTAGAATCGAAACATTACAGCTAAAAGTCAGAGTTCTTTACTTCCTTATTTTGCGTAGCCTGTAGTGGCATCTGTTGCTAATGCACGATCTTTGAAGTCGAGCATATAATTACCAGGAATATTTGTATTCAACATGTAACACCTAGGGAGGGTTGTAGATGATGAGCACGGGAACACTCGGTCGGCATAGCATGGCTCATCCATGCAGATGTGGTCATCTGTGTAACAAATTCCTATTCTTATTAAAATATATTATTCTATCCCCAGCCAAAATGTGTTCTTCCTAAGCGCTAAATATCGTACTGCTGGTTGTTACTATACGACAGGTTAGTAAAGATAACGGCGTGGCTTCCACGTAATAACTTGCAGGTTAGATAATCATATCATGACAAATCTACAATTTTGAGACTATTCTTATCACTTTGGTGGCCAAGACAAGTGTACTAATACCGAAGAAGGTCATAGGTACACAGTGGTAAGACAGAATAAAGAAACAGTTCGTTTTAAACTCTAGTATTTACTTCAGCGTGATAGATTGGTTTCTACTTATGTTAACCCGTTATCCTTCTAGTCTGTTGATTATTGCTTACGTGTAATGTAATGCGGTATTAATAAGTACTCGTGGTCAGTTTGTATGCTCAATCGAAATTAATAAGTGATCAACTATATTTATGATTAGCTATTACTATTCATAAACAGGATTTAGTATCATTCAAACGCCTCAACTATGTGGGTTTGTCAAAATATAAAGTAAAAGCAAATATGTCGCTTAATCAACGTAAATACACAAAGGCTCGCAATTAGTGTAAGCATTATTGTGGATAGGTATCTAGATCTAACAATGTATTTTTTTCTTGACTTAGCATTTTACTTTAAACTGTAGCGGTAAATAAACTCGCCAAATAAATAGTTCTGAACTCTCCAACATTGATGCTGACCTCAATAGTATGACTGGACGCACCCTAGTTGAAAGTGCTCATTCACGCATCCACACCAGGTCATGAATAGGTACGCCGTGCTACGCGTCACCTGCGACTGCTAACCAGCCTGGATTAAAAGTTTCCCAAAAATATCTTCGAACCACTTAATTTCTGACTTCTTACTTGACTGGGTTTGCATACTTTAATTTCATGGGTGTTGAGTAAAAAGGCGTTGTCAAACTCCGAATACCTGTGTCATCTTTAAAATTGTGTACTATCCCTTAGTATTTTTTTTATTTCCACCACTGCCTGTTTAGTTGCCTATTTTTAAATTTCATTGTCAAACAACAAAAATTCCTGCAATCATAAGCTCGTTTCACAGCTGACAGATGCATTCCAAATGAGAACCGGTGTCAGGCAAGGCTAATTACTCTTTTCATTTCTTTTCTAATGATTCACCGGATTATGAAAACCTGCATATCTATGGGGAAGCACGTGTGCAGTGGACAACTTGGATGCAGATAGACAATTTGGCAATTCCATTCCATAAAAATCAATAAATGTAAGCGAAGACAGTCAGTGTAGCACCAGCCTATACGGTATTGGGCCTCATCATATATGAAGAAAAAATTAAGATTCCGAAATACAACACAGTGAGCACCAACCCAACCACACTTATTATTATTAATGGCTTTATTCAATATTATATTTCGGTAAATTATAGAATTCTTGGCAGAGGCCAGTAAAGAATAATACGTAATATGCAAGAATTGACAAATTGTAAGGGTAAATGTCGAGTAATTATAAAATCAGTCAGCCGCTTTATGTAGTAAGTCAGACGTGAAACCTTCTTTGGTAACGCTAAAATATGAGGAGATCAGAGTAAAAGGTAACACCAAGATAACAAACCTCTGATACTGTTTATCAGAGAGTCTCCAACGTCACAAGCATTATAGGATCTCAATATGGTGTTTAGGTGCTGTCCATGTCTCAAATTAAATTTAACAGCTAGAAGTTTAGACAGACTAAGTATAAAACCATCAAAAACAGACCACCATTTCATACGAGACAGAAAACTCATTCATTTCTATGGGATGTAAAGACGTAGAAATCCGCATACATACAGTGAGATCGTTCGCATGTTTCACAAAAGTGTTTTCTGTGGAAGATGGCAGATCATACAGAAAAAAAGAGGTGAAAGAACTGCTTCTTGTGACACACCTTCATGAGACAGTAGAGACGTTGAACACTTTCCTCCAAACACAGTGTACTGTTCCCTTCCATAGAGGCAGTAACATAGCCAATGGGTTATCCAGCTGTCACTGTTGACGCTGATTAACTTGTTAAGTAAAAGTTTTCTTGGGATGGAATCAAAAGCAGAAGGATAGCCCAGAGAAGCATATCGAAAATACTTCATACCCTTTTCCAAGCTGGACGCTATATTGTGATGCAGAACAGCAATGCCATCTAAGGTGCTTCTTTCACGTTTGTAAGCAACCTGGTACGCATCAATGTCCTCTTGTAGGTTGAAGTGGGAGTATCATTAATTTTTGCATTGTTCTGAGGGAACGTGAAGTTATTGCTATGAGTCTAGATCACATATTCTTATAACCAGATAATTTCTTCGGTATAAGGATTATCATCAACTTTCTCCACACTTTCGGTATGAGATTAGTTGAAAAGAATCTGTTAAAGATATTCGTAAATGCACAACATAGAAGTCAGCACATTTTTAAAACGGAGGTTTGGGATCCCATCAGGTCCTAAACATCGGGACAAATGAAATGATTGGAGACATTTTCAGACATCAGTTTCAGTGAAAATAGGAACACACTTATTATTCAAACCTCTGGATATAGGGAGAATGACATCAGATAACTAACGTACAAAAGACTTATTTAAGTTGCAAACATTCAGTAGGTTTTTGCTTATAGTGTGCCTGTCACCTGTTAGTTCTCTGAAGAATTTCCACATACTTGGAAAGTTTTTACAAGATAGGAGTTTCGAAGTAAATATAGAGTTGGGACGTCTAATTTGTAGGTTTATTAGACCATTTAGCTTGCGAAATTCAATAGTTTTTCTGCCTATACATTAGTTCTTTTACCCTCCGTAGTCGTTTTAGCTGTAAAGATGAAAGTCGATCAAAACTTACAAAAATGATTTCAGTGGGACTGTGTAACAGCTTAGGTTGGTTGGCTAAGAGTTGACCCCAAACAACCAAGCATATGCCAAAACAGTATTGTTCAAGTATTCATTCACTTCCTTATTTTGTATAGGCGTTATGTTTCCTATTATCTTATATTGAATGTTGATAGTCTTTGTTTGTCTGAGCCCACGCTCCACTGTGATTGCGCGAAGATCTAAATAAAGACTAATTCACCACTAGTCTGGTTTCGTCTGTCAATAGGGTTACCTAAAAGCACGAAATTGGTGAGCCCGAAGTGATTCGAAGACGTAACTCTTAACCATTTAACCTAAGCTGTTACATTAGCTTCCAAATAAAGACTTATTCACTACTAGTCTATTTTCTATCAATAGCACGAGGGTTACCTACGGGCACGAAAAGTCCACCTTGTTAATTAGTGGTCGGTAGTTATAATTTGGCAGCCCAGAAGTCGATGTACGATTAATGTTCACTTTCTTCAATGCATATTGCCAACCACCACCATGTCACTTAGTGTGCTTTTTGCAGCTTGTTCAGCAAAAGGTTGTAAGCTTTTCAAAAACGTGCCTGTACAGGTTATGCGTTCAATAGACATAAAGAGTAGTTAAAACAGAATAAAAGAACAAATAACTTGTTGAAATATTTAGATGGCAGAAACAGGTAGCCTAAATATTCAAGCAGGCAGCCGACGGAGAAACTCTGGAAGAGGTGGAAATTCCACGCCACTGGAATGTATCGTCGATGAAAAAGGGTGATCTGATGCAGACGCAAATTGAAAGATATGTAAATGAAGGGCGGCCTTCCTGCAGTTGACGAAAATATAGAACTCAAAACAACTATCAACCGGCACGGAAGTCGATATTATAAACATCAAAATAATACAAAAAGGATTTTCCAACTACGAAAAGACGAGTATCTGAAGTTTTCTACATATTGCTTGATTCTACTGCCCTCGGCAGAAAAGAGTGCTTCACTATTTTATTTATTCATTCTGATGAACTGGCCTACATTGTATAACGAAACGCCAGGGGATTCAAACATTTGGTTGTTCTACTCAGTGGGATATTGCAAACATATAGTGTTTTTGTTAGTAACGATTTGTTTGAGATTATCATATCAAAACTTGGTAGTGACACCTGCGAACTTCAAGACGGATCTGTTGTACAGAGATGGAACTTGTAGAACTACCACAAGCATCGTCAAAATTGTATAGGTACTCAAGATGCTCAATATCCGTTGGTTAGATACTTTCAGCAGCGATCTATTGTAGGCGAGAACAAACCAGCTTTCATCTGAGGAGGGAAATAGGAAAACACGCCGGAGATAGATGAGATATGCATTGCAGAAACCATCAAACTGCATCATGAGGTAAGCGCTAACTTGGAATCCAAAAGAGAAAATGTAGAGAGGCAGGTCAAAGTGGATACAGTCACCGAAAGGACGAATAGTGACAGGAAAAAACTGGAAAGGAGAGTCTTGGACGGAGTTGGTTGTAGTTTGGTTGTCCGAGACCTACTTCCACACGAGTGCTAATAGGCGTAGGTAAGTATTCACGACTGATACAAATAAATAATAGACGTTGAATATAAGCGTGAATAAATATAGATAGTCATAAGAAAAAACGATGTGGTGTTTTATTACGATTATAGAAATTATTAAATTTAAGTATCATTAAAAGACAAGTGCGAATAACGTAAATTCAAATATTAAAAGTAAATTACTACCACTCAGATTTTGATTTTAAAGAAGAGTTACTTTATTGTTGCTACCTAGTATGCTTTGAAGTTTAAATCATTTAATTTACTTGAAAAGATAATTCGGGTTAGGTTACTAAGTCACATAAATTTGCACAATCTGTTAACTTCCGAGCAACATGGATTTTGTAACAAGCGTTCGTAATTGACTAATTTACTTATAGCGAGAGAGGATTGGACAGGAACCTCAGATAAAGGTCTGTCTGTCAACGTGATATTCATAGATTTTAGCAAAGCATTTGACAAGGTTTCACACATAGGTCTGGAATAGGGAACCTTTTATGTGACCGCAGACAGAGAGTGAAGGTCAATGAAACGCTATCCGATTGGAAGCCGGTCAAAAGTGGTGTAACTCAAGGCATTATCTTAGGCTTTCTACCATTCCTTCTCTATGTTAATGAATTACCGCTGTTGCTTGGGTCGTCGACATTATTCTTTTTGGATGATGTCAAAATCTGGGGAACAATGAAAAGTGAGGCTTATCAATATGATCTTCAAGCTGACTTAGACGATTTAGTTAGATGAGCTCGAGAACATAAAGGCTTCGGAGTAACAATAAGTCATGTTTTGAAAACAACTACACATTGCAACACAGCTGCTGTCAGAGGTTTTCGCGCGTTACGGTCAATTCGACGAGTATTCAAATGCTTTGACGAGGAAATGTTTGAATTTTATATCCTAACTATGTGACACCACACTTAGAGTGCCGTATTCAAGCGGCTAGCTTATGTCTGGTAGAGGATACTCGAGTGTGTCAAGCATGTGGGAACAAAATTAGTGAAGGGATTTTCTAAACTCCCTTACGATGAGCGCTAAAAAAGCGCCTGGAGCTTTTCCCTTTGTCGTATCGTAGGACGTGAGGTGAACTTATGCTGGCATTTCGCATCTTTAATTATGATTTGTGTGTTAATTTTTTTTATCTCTTTGCTCCCTCCAGAACTATTATTCTTCGAGGTCATAGCAAGAAGGTTCACAAAGAGCGATTTATAAACTTGAAGTGTGGTCCCGTATTTCTCATCGAATAGTCAATGACTGTGAAGATACTGCAGGTGTTTGGAGTTTGACAATGTTTTAACCAGTGACACCTTCCACTAAGAATTGTACCCACCAAGTGAAATCAAAAGACGGAAGCGAGGAGGTCCGAAGATATATTTGATAGGCTATCAATATATCGACGATCGAGTGATCTAGACTGGTTAGCGGTTGCAGGGGATGGTGAGTACGGCGCCCCCACTCGTGATCTCGTGCGGATGCATGAACGAGCTCTCTCAGCTAGGTGAGTTCATTGAAAATAATGTGGTCAGCATCCAATATCGAAGACCTACAGAGCTATTTATTTTGAGGATTTATTTACCGCTACAACTGGAACGCCTTACTCGAACAAGTGGAATCATCCACATTAGTGAATATTTTTAAGGAGAAGCTAGATATTAACTGGAAGGCAACCTGTCAGAGTGAACACAGGTTCACTAATATGCTATCCTTACTAGTGAAGAGTGAAGACTGATTTGTTTTGATAACTTAATTTTTGTTTGGCGCTTACCATATAGGTTGAATACATGTGCTGACTGTAGGTGAGGTAGCTTCGTAGTGTCGCTTCACTTTTCATATATTTTATCGATTAACAAAATTTTAAAAGCAGATTATGGAGGAAATGCCTTTTTGGTAGTTTTTGCATGCTAATAACTATACACATTGTGGTGAGTCGATATGGTACTACAGGGACCAGTAGGATACTTTACGTATAGGTAAAGAACTTCTATAGAAGTTCAAACAAACTATAATTGGAAATAATAAGTGGTCATAGCCTTCTCATAGCTTTAGAAAGGCGAATTATTGATGCTTTCGATACACTAAGTGATTTCCATCGTGTATTGTCCAACCAGTTCAAACAACATAGAAGTACTCATCGGTGTTTCATGGGTAGCACTAGAAATCACGTTGGGACGAGTCATTTTTTGGTAGCGTCTTGCCAGAATGCACCTAGCCACGTACTAGCCGTGGACTTTACGTGGTGCGCTTTTTATAACATTCACAACATACCTTCGATCCAATTTTGGGGAAAATTTGACCCATTTTGGGGAAGGCGCTATTGAAAATTCTATTAATAGAGTGCGTCAGATGCTAGCATCTAATATCGCTGCGTTAACTTGCAAAGTGTTTATAATCCACAGTGTGCTGGATTTCGCGTGTTCTGTGTCAGGAAATCCCGATAAAGACTAAAGTTCACTTGTTTTTTCCCATTTTGAATCACTTGTGTAGTAAAGATGTCCATCTTCTTATCTCTGGCAAAATATGTTGCGAAATGACTCATGATAATCCATTACTTTTAGTTCCAGTCCGTGTCTAGTGGAGGGAGTTATCCACTTCAGACAATGAACGCAGAGTTGCGCAAGATCATGGGTCGGTTGAAGTTAGACATTAGCACCATTTGATGTCGGCTTAGTGGTCTAGAGGTTAACCATTCGCGCGAGAATCCAAAAGTCATGGGTTCGGGTCCTGTGTACAGGATCGTGGATGGACGCTGCCGAAAAGTCCCATACTGGGACGAAGTGACCATCTAGTGCTTCCAGGTTTTCAGTGGTGGTCTAGCTTAGATCGACTCATAAATTCAGTCAATGAAGTCTCATTTTCGCCCCTCGAATTATACTCTTTTGGTCTCATTTCAACTGCTAATGGTCCAGTGTTTTGAATGAACCAAGCTACATTGTCCCTCGAGGTCTTACTGTGCCAAACCATCTCAAGTATAAAGTATGTCGTAAGGCATGAATATCACTCCTCTGACTCTCAGGCCTTAAAAAACCGTTATATTGTTTGACTAGCATCAAGCAATCCAGTCTTGCTAAATACAGAGCAGGTTCTACAGGTCGAATCCCACCACCTCGCTTTTAGAAATTTACGGTAAGCTTCAAAGATAAGTTTGCTACTTTGCGTGAATACCTTCAGACTGTCCCGCGCCGGCCTTTGCAGTTCCTCTGAAAGGTCGACTCAACCCCTAATAATCAACTGACACCTAGTGTTAATTATTTTTACAGTCAGCAACATTCGAATACACTCCGTAGCCCATCTAAAACAGAGCAGCGGTCGCATTTTGTCTTAAATTACTTTAGTACGCCCAAAGTCGTTCATAGTATGTTGTTAATCGTTATTAGTGACATTGTTACTTGGTGTTTTATACATCTGCGTTACATTTTGATTGTTATTGTTACTTCGTGGCTGCCAAATCTTCATATAAACATGTTGCTGTCTCATATATAACAGTTAAGTAAATAATCATGCTCATTCACATTGTACGTGTTGTGAAGGTAACTAATGCACAGTTAGACGTTTTAGGATAATCGGTAGTAAGGCCCATTATACAATTTAACATGTGAGGCAAAAGCGTCTTATATTTTTGAAGCTGTCAATTAGATTTCAAGTAAGAACAGTTATGAACTTACTCGACTTTGATTAGGCTGCTAGACAAAACTAAAGCAAAGAATGATACAACGTAGAGTCTGGGACATATGCATCGGTCTAGGTTGGTACACCATATAAGCACGAGGGGATGAAATTATCGAGATAAAACCAACAGCAGTAGTGTCACTGACAGCGAAAGTGATAAATATCGGGAAAATAATCTTGTTCCATAGATGTAAAAATAGACACTACTTCACACTGTTATGTTTCGATTCTTTTTCATTTCCAAATTCTCCATTTTGTTCAGCACGTCAACAGATTTGAAAATCAAATCAACACTCATTCTTTTTACTATGACTTAAGCAGTAGGATGTCATTAATACTTCCGACTTGGAAGTTTGTAGCTTTGTAAATGGATCTGTAAAATGTTTCATACCATATACAAGATTTCACGTTTAATAAGTGCGAATAACACGTAGCACACTATGACTTAATTACAATAATTTCAGTCTATTTTTGTACATTGCCTCTAAAGCACTTCATATACCGATAGATTAGATGTTAAGTAATAAGGTTTTTTAACTGAATAGTTTCTAATTTTTTTTATCTAAATGAAACGATTTTTGAGACAGTCATCAATCCTTACGACAAGGGGAAAATAGATACAACTATTCGGCTAAAGTCCGTATTGGCGAGGATATTCATGTTCATTTAAAGACATTAAAATCCTTGAGAAAATTTCCATTTCTAGATCACCAAATTACAGTCATTAAAGTTATGTCCGCGTCACGAGGATTTTGTTGCATATGTTCTTATGTGAATATGTAGATCTATATAATGCAACACTGCTGTTACACTAATTTTTTAAGGTTCATGTCAACTGCTTCCAAAATCACTCTAGGAGTTTCGTGTCTCTTTACATTGTCGACATTTGCAGGTGTACATATTTCTCAAGCTCTTGAACGTGAAGTAGGTTGCTCAAATTACTAAACTCAAGTTTGTAGAAGCTTGGTGAGAACGTGCGCCGTGAAATAGAACGTGAAATCCAAGAAGAAAAAAGTTCCGTATTGTATGTTTCTTTGCATAGCTTTATGTTTTAGATCTACCAGTGATGAACAACTCGATGGCTCTAAGTGATACAAGACTAGTATCTGATGAACATTGTCTTTCTGTCAGCGTTTCATTCGACAATCCAAGCTTCGCAGAAGTTGCCATGCGCTCACTTTCCGTGGATCCTTCTCCTCCACGATCTACAGTTAAAGAACAATTAAATCAAAAGGGGTCCGACCTCATCTGTACATTTTTCGCCCCTGTCAGTGTTAGCAATAGAAACCAGCAGTTACGAAAATTGCGTATTGCTGTTAACAGCTGGCTTGATAATGTCATTTTGGTTTCAGAAACAATCAGTGCGTTTGGAACAATGGACTCAAATTTTACATCTGAGCGAGCTATTAATGGCTTTTAATTAGTTTTATTAGTTTTCCGCAATATAATCTAGTGATACATATCAAGTTTTTGATTTGTACTCATAAGGCACATAACTAGATAATCTCTTCCTTTTTAAGCTTTTTTTCTATCATGGAGTATGATAACGTTTTCCTGAGTGTTGCACAAAGCTGTGACAATGGAGTACAGGGATTGCTGGACGCCTTTTTCGGCTTCCTTTCCAGACGAACAGATTTTTATTATGGAGCTACTGAAAAAGATGCGAAGCGTTTAGTTCTTGAGAATTTTGCAAAACACCGGGTAGGTTTCCATTTTTAGGGTTAAAGTTCTCCAAAAAGTTTCTGTTTTCTTTAACTGTATCTTTGATGCCCAATATTACTACGCATACTATTACTACCTCTATCACTCTGAGGTTTCTTGTAACAATGTTATTTATGATTGACTAACAAGTTCAATTCAAAGTGTACATAAACTAAAGCCAAACTAGAGGAATGTTACGATAAATGTATAATAAACAACTGGCTGGAAATGAGCATAAACATACTCAAAAGTTGTTAAACACGGGAACTTATCTAATTATATGTAAATACCCACAAAGAATGATTTGTATGGAGAAAATATCGACCAATCGTAATCAGTATAAACTCCACATGAACCTTTTTTAGCTAGTTGCCATAACATAATATAACGATAAAGTCACCTAGATGAATAGTAGCAAAGGGGGGTAGAAAGAGTTGTATTTTCAGCATTAGTTAAAAAGATTGAACCTCGAAAATGTGGTTCAGGGGAACACGAATTCATAAAGTAACAGATAATTTTGGAATTAATCTAAAGAAAACTAAATGTACATGTGCCAGTAGACGGATTTGGGGCCACAGCTATTGAGTGATCAAAATTAACGTGTTCATTCTTAGATAAACTTAGTTGTTATGATTTCACAATTTGCGAAAGAGCCCGATTTATTATAGTTAAAACAATTAAAGGTGTGGATCAAGCCATTTATCTAAATATTTACATTACTCATTAGGACGTCAGATAAAATGGCTTGAAATCGTTCTAAGTGGCGTGAATGCATTTGCTCTTTGTCTTCTTTTAGATCCTAAGCTTTACAATTACCTGGTACTTATTATCGCACGAATTCATTTTTTCTGCTCGAATTGTCTGTACCTAATGTCTTATACTACTACTACTACTGCTACTACTCATGTTACTACCCTTAATACTTTGTGGTTTCTGTTGACAATTTCATCTCTCTGTTCTAATGTGATGTAGCAACTTGAACTGATGCACATATGTGCCAGACCTCACGTTGCATATGACGGACTGTATTCGATCGTATATTGAGGAGAAAATAGTCCCCGGTAGCTACTGACTAATCTGTTTCATCCTGTCAGCGTTTCGTGTTACAGTAGTTCTTAGTTTACAACATCCATTCAAAAGAGTAACGTATGTCGAACTGCTACTTTATGACTCATGCAATATTATATTGTGGGTGAGTTTGGGTACAGAGTTAACCAACTTTAAGTGGAACAGCATTATTCGCTTGTAAAGTTCCAGTTGTTTTTCGTTGCACGGTTCTATACAGCCGGCCTATCTTAACGGTTCATTTTTTTTCAACAACCGTGAATCAATAATATGTGAAGTACCATTCTTGAGACTTTTCCCTGTACGAATATTTTAGTCATGTGTATTGCTTTGATCGTTAGACTGTTCATCACTGCTATTCAAAGGTATTTGATGTTTTTTTCTGGGAATAAATAGGATGCTGCCTTAGCACGTCGTGAAGAAGAGAAGAAAGAATTACATGAACGAGATGAACGCGAACGTAAACGAAGAGAAGAAAAAAAGAAAGAAGCCATTAAGGCGAATCTTGCCCCTCCAAAGGAGTTAAGCAAAAGTTAGTGGTGTTTTTTGTCAACTGTAAGCAGTACAGTAGATATGAGTAATGCAAATCACTAAATTTATACGTACGTACATTGAAATCTTAAGTCATTTTCACTACTATTTAAAATAACGATATCAATCAGTTTGTCAAAGTAAACCTAATGGATTGGAGTTCGTATACTTAGATCATGTAATGTTAGAAAACCAGTAAACCATAGTTACAGTTGTGTAGACTGCATGTATAATAGAATGATCGATGCTACTAACCTCCAACTGCTTAGACGTCAATATCTGAAGAGAAGCACGTGATACAGCGGACAGCTAGGATACAGCTGGACGATCTAGACTTCGCCCCCAAATGCCCTGGTTCGGCCGAGAGTGGGGAGAGTTCGCTCTCCCTCTCCAAATGCTCTCACATGGCCACGCGTATATAGCCTCTGACAGGGAAGTCCTACTCACTGCCTTCTCGTGGCGGGGGTGTTGTTTACAAAAATGAGAAGACGAAAAGCGAATGTCCGGCGCTTTAACCGGATTCCAAAACAATGGTGCACAAGGGCTCCAGTATCCTGCGGGAATGAAAGGCGTATAAACCAATTGTTGGTCACCGGCTTTCGTGGGACTGCATCTCCTCACGATGCTCCACTGCCTTGTGGATCAGACCTTCAGGTCGAAGGCTCGGGGTGTGGCCCCCTAAGAAAACCACCTGCTTCAGTTTGGGCACCCGGGCAGTATCACAGCCTTCGCACATCGAATGAGATTTGTGTGGCGCATATGTATTTGGTGCCTCCTTGTACCAATATCTATGTGTTAAAATAAAATAAATAAACAAATCACAGATGATCTGGATCTTCTATCGTAAACGCAACAACAAATGCAGGAGAAGACGACCAGCGTAGCAGCAGTTACAGCAGTAGTAGGTCTCAATATACACAGAGGGAAAAACAAGATTCTCCGAAACAACACAACATGCAACAATCCAATCACACTTGACGAAGATTTGGAAGATGTAAAAACCTTTACATATTTGGGCAGCATCATTGATGAACAGGGTGGGTCTGATGCAGATGTGAGGGTGCGGGTCGGAAAAGCAAGAGCAGCATATTTACAAATGAAGAACATCTGGAACTCAAAACAACTGTCAACCAACACAAAGGTCAGGATTTCCAATACAAATGTCAAGACAGTTCTACTGTTGTATGGAGCGTAAACCTGGAGAACTACGAAAGCCATCATTCAGAAGATACAGGTGTTTATTAACAGTTGTCTATACAAAATACTTCGAATCCGTTTGTCATACACTATCAACAACAACCTACTGCGGGAGTGAACAAACCAGACCCCAGCGGAGGAAGAAATCAGGAAGAAGCGCTGGAAGAGGATAGGACACACATTGAGGAAAGCACCCGACTGCGTCACAAGACAAGCCCTCACATGGAATCCTGAAGGCCAAAGGAAAAGAGGAAGATGAAAGAACACATTACGCCGGGAAATGGAGATAGACATGAGAAAAATGAACAAGAATTGGATGGAACTAAAAAAGAAGGCCGAGAACAGAGTGGGTTGGAGAATGCTGTCGGCGGCTCATGCTCCATTGGGAGTACCAGGCGTATGTAAGTAAGCCCAGTATAAACTTCTTGCCAAATCCTCTTAAAATGGTAGTAGTTGGAAACACTAGGATATATTTTTCAAAATCAATCATAATATCACGAAAATTCAAGCACTTTCTACGTTAGATCTAGCATTTCAATAATTCTATTGACGCGCACCAGAACATTGAGTAGTGAAGCTTTATAATCTGACTATCTAGTAAAGTATCTATTATCTTTGCTGTCTCTTTTTTAAAAGAAAACATCAAGTGTCATTATTCATTTTGTGTAATATTTAGTTGTCTGCTCATCAACTCTTTCTGTCTAATTCTCATTTTCTATACCAAAAGCTGATAATTTAAACGGTACAAGTGAGGAGCCGTCAGACATGCCCACACTACCACAAACAGAAGCAAAGCCATCACTTGAGAAAAGTGATCTGCCTAAACCAATCAAAGTTGGTTCGTCTCCTGATGATGAAGAAGATGAGGAGGACAAGGGAAAATTGAAACCGAATGAAGGAAATGGTGCAGATCTGCCAAATTATAGCTGGACTCAGACATTGAGCGATGTTGATATTAAGATTCCAACACGTGTAAGTTTTGTAATAAAATTGATATTGTGATATATTTTTGTTTTTCGTTCAATTGACTCATTCCAAAAACAATTATCATGAAGATAAGATTAGCGAATGCGTACGCAATGAATTATTTTCGTTATTTCAAAATAAGCTGGATCTTGATTCTCCGCAAGAATTATCTATCCTATGCTTAAAAAGTAATTTTTTTCACTATCGGCTCATACAATTCTAATTCATTTTACTATTCTGTGGCATTTGAATGAAAAGAAATTGTAAAGATTATTGCAGTTTGTTTTGTGAAATGAGAACTGCTTTAAGCGAATCTTCTGCCCCCCCCCCAACATAATTAGTTTTACAATTTATTTTGTCTTTATAATTAGTTACCACATTCCATCAAATCTCGCGATGTCTATGTTGAATTTACCAGAAAGCACATCAAAATTGGTTTAAAGAATCAGGAGCCCATTTTAGCTGGGAATTTGTATAATGAAATTAAGGTAAGCAATCATTCCTCATTGGATATTTTATTTAGAATTTGCTTTACTTTTAAACTATGAATAAGAACTATTCATTTGGTTTCGAAATCATGTTTAAATTCATTGACCAGACAATGAATTACAGTCCACTTTCCTATCATTCTCACTTTGATTAAATTAAACAGAATGCGCATTCATTTCCTAATATACTGATAGCGAATCAAAGACAAAGACCACTGATCTACAACTACAAATCCATCTATTACATGTAGAAGTCGAATAAAAGCTGTTCAATAAATGAGACTTCACAATTTTCACACTATAATAATGAAGCTGCATATACTGTTGAAAATTGATTCCCTTAAATGACTTTGAAAAGAAACAGTTTCTGTTAACCTGTTAGTTCCTCATGTGTGGTGTAATAATACTTTTGCTAATAGATCTCATATAAGGCACATGATCATAATCTGTATTTTGACGGACAGCTTGCATAGCCTGTACTTAATCAACACAAAAACATAGACTAATGCTACTAATAATAAAACAAGCCCTTCTATCCACTTAATGGATCTGTTCTATAGTCTACCCAAGTTGTTTATGTTACTGTTTACTGACAAAAGTGAAATGCCATCTTTCTTAGACAACAACAGTCAATTTCATCTTCTATGTATTTTGGTAGAACAATGAGAAAACGGAGTTGATCTGAAAAATGGATATTTCCGCCATACGTTTTGAACATGATCACAAATATTTGTAAATGTAAACTAATAAAAGCCCATTTAATAGCCGAATAAATACAGTCATTACTGGAAATCATGGAAGAAGAAATGACGTAATAATGATATGGAAAAAATAGGAAGTTGTAACACCATACTGGGTCTCAGAATAGGTAAAAGATTATCAAAAGCGATTCAAAGTTTTTGCACGCATAAAGGCGGTTTGAGTGTTCTACTAGCTAAGTCTTCTACAAATCTAAGAATTCGTCCTTGATAATTCATACAGTACGTTTTAAAAGCTTCATTAAAGTCGATCTCATGGCCCATTTCAAATGTTTTCTTATTAATGAACATGGTTTTCTATTCCCTACGTTTTTGGAAGCATTTGATATTGATCCTGAAGCCAGTCATCTAGGTGCATGTTCCACAACCCTTGGTTGGATTATTCGATTGCTCCTCTCTATGTATGTGAATTGTTAAATACTGTGAGATGTGACGCCATCGTCTATATGATGTCTAAACTTGTATCGGATCACGCTCGAAGGTTCTTCTATAATATTCTACTTAGCTTCCTAGTATTTTTTTTCTCGATGGTTGATTTTAATCTATCTAAAAATGATGTTATCTGACTCCAAAATAAAATTAACAAAAGTTTAAATAGTACTATATGTTAATTTCCGGTTATTTATTTACTCTGAAGAAGCGGCTTACATTAAGTCATAAAACAGAAGTACTATTTTCTAACAAAAAATATATTTATCAATAAATAGTTGAATTCATTATCCAAAAATCAACTCAGATTGTCACAGCACTGACTTAACGCATTATAATTTTAGCAACAGTTCAAATCATATAGTAGGATAGGTATATTTATATAAAACATAAAAGTATCGTTATGAAAGTGAAAATTTATTCCATGAAACACTGAAAGCTTGGTGTGATTAGATTATCCAAATTAAAGATTTACTTACGCCTGTTACTCCTCGTAAAGGAGCATGGGTCGCCCACCAGCATTCTCCATCCAACCCTGTCCTGGGCAATCCTTTCCAGTTGTTATTCATTCTTTTAATATCTGATTCTATTTGCCGATTTAAACATTATCAAAATAAAAGGTATCAGCTAATTAAGTGATTTGGTGTTGCTTTTTGGAATCATTATCACTGAAAGACCTTATTTAACATGAATGACAAGCCTTTGTATTCCACTGTACAGATAGTAAATATATTTCAAGAATTCCAATAGTAATGTCTTTCAGCTTCAATCTCTTTTGACTGTATGTAATTTGTGGTAAGTAGTATGTAAGTTATTATTTCGCTTATGGTTATGGCAACGTAACTAACGAAAGAAAAGTTGATCACATTCCATTTACTACGTTTAGCATAGTTTAATTTTTTTTCAATGGGGTTTGTAGTTTTTTTGTTGTTGTTTAAAATAAGAGAAATACATTGGAAATGTTTTTACTAGGTTGAAGAATGTGTATGGAGTCTCCTGGATGGTATCACTATACTCGTCCACCTAGAGAAATCTAACAAAATGGAATGGTGGAGTCGTATCTGTGATGGTGAACCAGAAATGAATACACGTAAAGTTCAACCGGAAAATTCCAAACTCTCTGATTTAGACGGCGAGACTCGATCTATGGTTGAGAAAATGATGTATGATCAACGTCAAAAAGAGCTTGGTCTGCCAACATCCGAAGATCAGAAAAAACAAGAAATGTTGAAAAAGTTTATGGCTGCTCATCCTGAAATGGATTTTTCTAAATGTAAATTTTCTTAAGTGTATGTTAATTTGAACTGCTGACAAAACTCAGTCTTTTTGGTATTATTACATTATCAAAAAAGAAACTTTCACATTAAATATGGGTATTTTAATGTTCACAACTCTAATTTTGTTCGAGGGAAGTAAGAAAATCCAACTTGTTAATAATTTTGGCATAATTACTACTCTAATTGATTCGTCGTTACAATAGTCTGAATTTTCACTGCATATTGAAAGTTTATCTAATACAGGGAGAAGGAATTAGTTCGTAGAAAGAAAGATATAAAGCGTTTTTAATCTCGCGGTGTAGGGGCGAACAAAGAGTTTATACACATAGGCCTTCGTGTTCGATTCTGAGTCATGTAAGACAGAGTCTCCAACCATTAGTTACGATAATCGCGTGGACACCAACCAAGTAGGTAAACTGCATCTACCAACATGTCTCAGACCCAAATCGAGTGACTTTATGGACTGATGGTACATTTCGGTTTAGTCACCCCTAACTCCCAACACTAGTCAGCATTGCGCGTCGGGGTAATCGGTGGTTGGGCATCTGTAATACGTGGCTCAACTATCTCGGTCGATGGAGATTCACAAACTCATCAACTAATGTATCATCATTCCCTAATACCCTGCATCTAACCTCACCATTACTTGCCACCCGGTGATCCCAGCAGATGCGAGCAATATTTCTGAGGCATCTGTGGTCAAATTCTAGTAACTGACGAATATCTTCAAGTCTTAATGGCCACGTTTCGCAGCCGTAAATTACAAGAGAACAAACTGCCGCGCAGTTTACTCGTCCTTTTATTGGTAGACGGATATCTCGCCTTCGCTACATGTGACGTAAGTTGGCGAAAGCTAAATGAGCTTTCTAAATCCGTGCACAGATTTCGTCAGACACCAACCCATTGGGACTGATTACACTTCCAAGACAGGTGAGGTTTTCGACGCGTTCGACTACTTCACTCCCTATCCTTAGTTCAGGTATTGACGCAGACCAGTCCTGAAGCAGCAGCTTGCATTTAGAGGGAGAGAAGCGCATTCCAAACATTCTGGCATTGTTGCTTAGTGCTACCAAAAGACTGCATTTTATCAGTGTCTTCACCAAACAGAACTATATCATATGCGTATTCCAAGTCGATAATTTGACCTCCTGATGGGAGATCAATTCCCGAAAATTCAGTCGATGAGGACGGTATTTCCAGTAGTAGGTCGATAATGAATTTGAACTAAAATGAAGATAGTGAACAGTCTTGTCGGACATCTCTTGAGGTTGGAAAATCAGATGACAGTTCGCCATAAGCTCCAACTCGACTGGTAGTGTTCGAGTAAAGACCCTTCACGTAGTCTATGTACTTCTTAGGTACATATTTCAATGACAGACGCTGAAGCCAGCCTGGTTTTCTCGTGTTTGCAGTTCACGAGTATTTGTTGAGCGCCTGATAATTAATAAGGCTAATATTTTAGATGTAATATTAGTTAAACTAATCCCTCTGTGGTTACCACAGGATGGTTTTGACCCCTTTTCCTGACTGTCAAGGATAATTTCTTCACGCCTGAAGAACTCGGTTGTTTCTACCTAAAAGCATCTAATGACTTTAAAGTAGTTGGATCACAAATGTTTCCTAACATAATGGTAGTACTAAATGAATATAAACAACTGCTAGATGATAACTCCTTACAGTATACTGTATGGTAAGCGGTAATTGTCGTTAAATCGTACTACTTAGTAAACTCCCAGTTTGTGGTTGTTCATGAATTCGAGGAACTAGTGTACCACTGAATAATCTCCAACCGCTGATTGCAAATGAAAACTATGATCGTATGGACCAGAGTAGCTGTACATATAAGTCAGAATACATATATATATACAAGCTAAAATCAATCCTTCCGGACATTGCGCCAACCAGTCTTTGGAAAACAGGCTTTTCCAACCATGAAGTGCTCTATTTCCTTCGTACCGATTTCTTGATGCTTGGGGTGTTCGACTCCCAGCTACCATGTCTTGAATAAAGTGCTGCTCCACGCTGAGTATACAAACGCACATGTGGTATGTAATTTACACTGGAATGAGTCTTATTAACACAACTATCCCAAATAGAGGGTGTACTGAAATGCAACTTCGGTTAACAGGCTATTTTTAGTGAGAAGTAATGGAACCCAACGACAGTTTGTACGTCCATATGCCAGTAGGGCTGTTGGTAGCTGTCTGAACCACAGTAAACGAAACTGAATTAGTAAAACCATTACATAAATAAGCCATAAATTGTCAAATGGTAGCAAATATTTAACATGTTTCTGATTCTCAAGGATGATGGTTCCACCAAACGATTGACCTACAGGAGACTCACCTACGATGTTCAAAACGTAAACTTTCAATTTTTATTTGTTGCAATACAAATGAGACTTGTTGAGATACCTCTCCGTTTGGGATATGCAATCACCAAAACAACTTATGAAGACGAAAATCAATGTCGATTCATAGTGAATGTATGGTCAACTTTCAACACAATAACTGATGAACAATCAATGCATTTTTACAATGATAAATGCTCAGTTCTTAAATCCTAATCATTCTAACATACTAACTCAAGTGTATTATAAAGTATACTGGAGTCATCATCAATAAAGCTCCCATTACGAAAATGAACTCTTTACTCTAGTTGGTGGAAAATGAAAGAAAAATATAGTAGTCCGGTTCACTGTATGGAAGTCAGAATTGCAGAACATAAGCACAGCGCACGAACGTTTTACTTCAACAGCACTTAACAAGTCTGGACTGTAGATACAATAAAAGATACTAAACTTATCAATGAAATATCGATAATAAAGGGATATTCATTAACGCTTATGAATTAGTGTAAATACAGCTAACATCGGAACCCCTCCTTAAATCTCTTTCGAAGGAGAGCGTTCACACCGCTTTGCCATGAAGAGAAATAAACGGTATAATGTAATTGAGACTAAAAATAGCTATCGAAAAAAACATCATTAAAAAGGAGGTGAAGATAGTTGGATTAGATATTTTACTCGATAAGAATCTAGTGTCTAGGTTAATTATACAGATGAGAAGTAATGGTGTTTAGAAAGTTTAATAACATTCAACACTGGGGGTCGTAATATGACAAAATATATCGGGGACAGTAGTACTTAGTTACTATTAATAGTACTTAAGTGGTAATTGAGTATAGTCGGTAGCAACAATATGTACCCGACATATTATCTTCATAGATTGTGAATTACTGTGAAAAATCACTACACGATTAGCTCGATTGTCCCTACAAGTGTGTGGGCGATTGTCACTTGTTAAATGTACATAGTGTGAAATATTTTCTATTCAGGAAAATGGAAAACATGATTGGCATTTTAGGGCTTGGTAATATCAGAACTCAAAAGACAAATGCTTGAGACCACTTACACAGTATCTGTTCTGAACAGTCATTTTTTTATATATTGGATTTTAGACTTTGTCACTCCCGCCTAGAATTCTTGAGGCATGGTAAATTTCGCTATTTCGTTTTACGAACTCTTCTGTTACGTGAAGGCATTGTAGTTGAAGATGTTGGTTTTCCTCTGGAAACACTTCCTTGAAATTACAAGTAAGGACAGACCATTGTATTAGCATATGAATGACCTGTCAATGTGTGATATACTTATATACTATAATCCCTGATAAGCTTATGCTATAGTGAAACTGCCTGTTTATTTGCCGGACAACATAAAAAACCCACTTAAAACAATGTCAGCAAGCATTAAAAAAGCGGAAGTGGAAAGACGAACACAATATTACTGACACCATTGCTGGACCTCAGTCGGATGATAACTAATGATGACAAATACTAAGTAACGTCTAGTGGTCTAAAAAATGAAGACCACCCGTACCAAAAGACTAACTGCAAATTAACAACTTTATGGAGACGACTTACATGTTTTCCGTCAAACAAAATCATAAATAAAAGTTAGTTACATGAACAATAAAGCACACTGAAGTCAGAAATTTGATCAAGAGACCTCGTATACCAGAAAACCCATGTTGAATGTTTGTGAAAACAGAAGGTATGTACAAATCGATAGTTAATGAAAGCCACAATGACGAAGAAATGCACAACTTCAGCTTTCCAGTCTTATTTCTCCTTTGAAGCCATATGACGCATAAGCAGGGACGTCAACTTTTCAATTTTTTTGACGTCTTGAGCCATATCTGTGACATACTTTAACACCTATGCAAATACAATTTAAAAAACCAACTCACTGTGTGGTTATCTGTTAATTTAACTACAAGCTTTCGGTCCACGTGTCTATACTTTGTACACATACGACACTAGAAATAAGACAGAATTTTGAACTGATTACTTTTGAAGGGTCTTCTAAATAAAGAACCTCAGCCGCCTTCGCAAACTCCTCCCATGAGTTGAAATTAGTCATGTATTGTGATGTATAGCCCTCGTGGTGTTCGGTTTGGCGTGATGAGACGTTATTGATGAATAGAATAAGGCGTCGTAACGGGGATCTGACATGAAAAGAAGAAAAAGTAAGCTGAAGACAAACTAAGCAAATAGGATGCAATAAAATCATAAAACGAAGGTAACTAAAAAGACTTATAAGTTTCAGTTTGGGAAGGACAGGAGGCTTGATGACCTATGTTAGTCCTGGCAATGGTGGTCTCTCAGTTGATCCAACTTTCTTTTGAAAGAGTCGACGGATGGAGCCTCAACCACGTGCTGAGGTAATGAGTTCCACTCGTTGATGATTCGATGGGAAAGTCGATAGTCAGCTGACAAGTAATTTGTTCTCGGCTTATGAACTTTTTTGGAGTGTCCTCGTAAATTCTCTGTTTTGGAAGACAAGAGAAATGAGGGCATATTAGGTGTAAATTTAGCACTAAGCAATTTGTAGACTGTAATCAAGTCGCCTCTAGTTCTGCGATATGACAACGGGAAAAGGTTCAGCTTGGCCAGTCGGACTTCATACGTAAGCTTCGCTATTCCAGGAATCAGCTTAGTCGCCGTTCTCTG